CATTCCTTCAAAATGCTACATATTTTACACAGAGCGGATTATTTTACATGGCAAAGACATAATTCCATTTCCTAAAAGTTTGCAGGCTATGAGGCATATATTATAAATCCTTACCATTCACTTATTTAATTTTGTTATTTTCTGATGCTCAGTGAAGTTGCATCTCAGATTACAAGAGAGCCATTTCCTATAGGCTCTGTCAATTCTTTTGAAACACATATAAATTCTGAGAAATAATTTCCACAGAGCAAAACAAAAAGCTACAGACATCACTTTCACAATGAGATGAATCCCATATGCTTTAATCTTTATAGTATGTGGTTATTGTCTCAGTGCATTTTCTGCTGCTATAACACAATACCACAGACTGGGTAATTTAACAAGAACACAAGTTTATTTGGCTCACAGTTTTGGAGGCTGGGAAGTCCAAGAGCATGGCTCCAGCATCTAATGAGGGTCATCTCATGGTGAAAGGGTGGAAGGCAGAAGCCAGTGAACAAGATACAGGGAAGTGGGCTGAACTCATCCTTTTTATTAGGAATCCCCTTGAGCAATGACTAAACCATTCCCATGATAATGGTATTAATTCATTCATGAAGGCAGAGTCCTCGTGCCCTATCAACTCTTAATGGTTCCACCTCTCAACACTGTTACAATGGCAATTAAATTTCAACATGAGTTTTGAAGGAGACATTCAAACCATAGCAGTTGTTTATCAAGAAAAACTCTGTACCTAACAATGGTTGAACTAATTTATGCTTCCACCAACAGTGTAAAATTGCTCCTTTTTCTCCACAACCTTTCTGGCATCTGTTATTTTCTGACTTTTTAACGATAGCCATTCTGACTGGTGTGAGATAGTATCTCATTGTGGTTTTGATTCGCATTTCTCTAATGATCAATGATGTTGAGCATTTTTTTCATATAACTGTCGGCTGCATGTATATCTTCTTTTGAGAAGCGTCTGTTCATGTCCTTTGCCCACTTGTTAATCTGGTTAGTTGTTTTTTCATTGTAAATTTGTTTAAGTTCATTATAGATGCTGTATATTAGTCCTTTGTCCAATGTATAGTTTGCAAAATTTTTTCCCATTCTGTAGGTTGTCTGTTTAGTCTGTTGATAGCTTCTTTTGCTGTGCAGAAGCTTTTTAGTTTAATTACACTCCATGTGTCAATTTTTGCTCTTGTTGCAATTGCCTTTGGCATCTTCATCATGACTTCTCTGCCCATACCTATGTCCTGAATGGTATTGCCTAGGTTTTCTTCTAGGGTTTTTATGGTTTTGGGTTTTACATTTAAGTCTTTAATCTATTTTAAGTTGATTTCTGTATATAGTGTAAGGAAGGGGTCTAGTTTCAATTTTCTGCATATGGCTAGCCAGTTCTCCCAGAACCATTTGTTAAATAGAGAATCCTTTCTCCATTGCTTGTATCAGGTTTGTCAAAGTTCAGATAGTTGTAGGTGTGCAGTCTTATTTCTGGGTTCTCTGTTCTGTTCCATTGGTTTGCATGTCTGTTCTTATACCAGTACCATGCTGTTTTAGTTACTATAGCCCTGTAGTATAGTTTGAAGTCTGGTCGCATGATGCCTCCAGCTTTGTTCTTTTTGCTTAGGATTGCCTTGGCTACCCAGGCTCTTTTTTTGGTTCCATATGAATTAAAATAGTTTTTTTCTAGCTCTGTGAAGAATGTCAGTGGTACCTTAATGGGAATAGCATTGTATCTATAAATTTATTTGGGCAGTGTGTCCATTTTCATGATATTGATTCTTCCTTTCTATGAGCACGAAATGTTTTTCCATTTGTCTGTGTCACATCTGATTTCATTGAGCAGTGGTTTGTAGTTCTTCTTGTAAAGGTCCTTCACTTCCATTATTAGCTGTATTCCTAGATATTTTATTCATTTTGTGGCAGTTGTGAATGGAAGCATTCTTGATTTGGCTCTTGGCTTTACTGTTGGTGTATAGAAATACTAGCAATTTTTACACACTGATTTTGTATCCTAAGACTTTGCCGAAGTTGCTTATTAGCTTAAGAAGTGAAAAACACACTATTTTTTAAAAAACTCCCCCATAAAAAGCTGACAATTATGTTGCTTGAAATATATAATTTGTAGTATTTTACTCTAAGATTTTGCTTTGCTAATATTTCCTAAAATAATCAAGCTTCTAAATTACAAAATGGCACTCTGAAATATCATGAGACTTTTAATCAAATAATAAAATATCTTTTAAAATATTACAAATTAATTTTTGTGTGCATAATAATTTCTATATTACTATAATTAACAAGATTCCATGAATATATGGTTTCTAATTTAAAGTGACAAGAGTTCTATTGGAGATTAAGAACTAGGTCAATCAATTGATTAGTAAATTTAGTCACTTTATCCTTATGGTATTTGAAGTAGCTAGTAAAATTCAGTACAAGACAATACGACAGCAGCCATGTAGTCTAATAGTCTTTGTTTAAAATGATGGGTTTTTGAGCAGGTTGGGTAAATACACTGCTGTACTCCATAAGAACCAGAACTAAAAGTAGTACAATGTGATACCTTTGATAACTCCAAGCTTCTTTAAAGCAACATCGTGTTATACATATCAGAAGATGGACATAATTATTTTTGATAAGTAATTGTAGGATTCACTTGTAAGAGAACATGGTTAAATATTCATAACTATAATTGTACTTCCTGTAGTTAGTGGCTATCTCAACATAGTCAAAAGGTTTATCTCAATTGATTTTACAATCTATTCTCCATAACTCTATCAGTAGGAGACCATTTCTCTTACAGGACCATGCCTGTGAGTTTCAAAGATTACATGAGAGTAACTCTCAGCTTTGTTAGATATTATCCTTTGCACGTAGCTGCTTTGTCTGACAAGCACTTAGACTATAAAGTTTAAGGGAAGTGCCATGTTTTCTGTTCTAATTGATCACTGATTGGCCAAACACTGTTTACTGGACTGTTTATGTAAAAAGCACTGTGCCAGCTTAAGGAGGAATATAAAAATCTACAGTACAGCCTTGCCTACCTAGCTGGAAAGGCAAGTTAAATGCATGTGTACCAAGATGTCCTGGTTGATCCAACCTGAGAGTGGACAGAACAATTCTTCCCAATACTACACTATTTGGCTTCAGGGTTTAATTTGCATGAGTATTTGTATTGGAAGAGCAGGGGACCGAAAGCTCTGGCTGGGTACAAAATCTAGATCTACTCAGTATTTATCAGATATGTGTATCAGTGGGTAAGTAATAATTATCTTCAATGCCAATGTCCTTATGTTTAACATGAGAGTAACAATAGTATATCTTTTATAAGATTATAGAGAGAATCAAATTAGATAACACATATAAAATGCTTAGCATAGTGCCTGATAACTAATAAGTGAACGGCAAATGTTGGTTACTTGAGGAAGTAGATTCCCTAGTGTGAGTTTTCTCTTTAGGAGAGTGGTTAAGCCTGAAGCTAAATAAATTGTTTTCGGATAAACTTTGTGAGATTTGAGTTCCAAACAGTACGGCTTGGGAGCTAAGGAAACAAAATCAGATTCTGGGCTTGGGAGGGAGCAAGCTTTGCCTTTCTGCTTGGAATACAGTGAGGCCTGAGGAGTTGTGATGACCTTTGGCACCACATGGCTTTAGAGTTTGGAGAGCACCAGGAGAGAAGCAATATTCTTACAAGAGACACTGCTCCTAAGTGCCTTTTGGGAACCAAACATCAAGGTGGATGGGAGAGAATACCGGGCACAGGTCCTGAGCAGATGCGAGATAACAAAAATTACCAGAAATGACTGGAGCTATTTACACAAGGAAAGACTATGAAGCTCATTTGTATACTAACAGGCTGGTAGGGCCTAATGACATTAGCCTCATTCATATATAAACACAATAAAAATACAAGGCAGTGCATGCTAAGCGCAAATAAAGTAGCCAAGATGAAAGTTCAGTATGAAGTTCAGGGGAGGAAGAGATCAGTGTAAGATGGAGCATTCAAAGCTCTGAAACATCAGCTGGCCTTTGCAGACTGGTAGAAGCTAAGTAGTTTATGGCAGGTCTTTAAGTAGGAAAGACAGGTGAGCCAAGGTGTGGAGTGAACGCATGCTTGGGGCTTTGGGGACAACAACTGTTACAGGAGTAAGTGGGTGGTGTGTGCAAGGAAATAGTGGGGAAAAGGTTAGAAAACTATTCTGGATCATATTTGAATGGTGAAGAGACTTGGGTCCTGCAGGTGATAGGGAATTAGAGAAGAAAGATTTTGATTTGGGAAACCTACAATGAAACTAGTAATTGATAAAGTAATCAGGCTTCACTTGTGGTACGGAATAGGAGAGATGCACAGGAGTATGAGAAAATGGTGAAAAGCTCTTCCTAGATGAAGTGGGACTACAGTGAGATGTAATATTATACTGATATAACATTACTTACCATTTTCTTAAAAAGCATTTACAGGGGAAAAAAAGAAACTAATTAAGAGAAGCACGGTCTTATATTACTCCTCAATTTCCATTCAGAATTTTCTGGTGATTACTACTCTATGTTCCAACGGATATAGCTGTAGGCCACAGCTTGCTTGTTCGTAAGTTGCACAAGCACTCTTCATGATACACTGAAATTCCCAGTGTTAATCTAATACTCTTTCTCTCTCTCTCTCTCTCTCTAGGTCTAATTCAGATTGTGCTTTGGAAACATAACTGCATTCCTACATTTTTTTTAGGCATTTCAAACCCTGCATATTGATACATTTCTATATAATGGTAATTGTGATAGAACAGTGTCATATAAAAATATAGTTTTCTCTCATTCAGAGTCTTTGAAATAAATTCTTTCAAATAGGTTGGTAAAGCGATTTAATGCTTTTGTTTGCTGCTAACCCAACTGAATGTTGATACATGCCACTGGTTTACATCCTTCTTCTAATGTTTGCCTAGGAAAAAAACTGTTATTCAACTCGAGTAATGACTAGGTTTTTCGAGGACATTCTTATAACTACCCATACTCACTTGAGCTCTTCAGCAAGATTCTCAGTAAAAGTCCATCATGATGCAGAAGGGTTTCCAGAAGCAAGTTCCAGTTACAACCTGGCTGGGATAAGAGCAGTTTCAATTGACCCTCAGCTTTCAGTCCTCCAGTTGATGGAGTCCTTTCAAAATGCAAGATAAAGATAGAGTAATGAAGTTAATTTATCTATGAAATTAATAGCCTTAAAGTACAGATGTAATGCTAGCTCCTTTAAATGTCAATTCCTCCCAGATTACTCTGAAAATGCTTTCATGCTTACTTACTTTAGGGTTGCCTGGGGAAGGAATTACATTTAATCTCAACTAGCTAAAAGCAAATTAACATTTGGTACCCTGCCAAATTTAAAACTGATACAAAATACCCATGCCTATATTTCATGGAACTATGTCTGTTTTTGTTTCGTGGAGGGAAGAAAAACTATTTATGCATTTTTTGGAATGCATTCATTTGTTTATTCACCTAATATATGAATGCCTACTATGTGCTATTAACTCCTTTCATTATTAATTGAGAGTTCTGATGGGTTTCGCTAGTTTGTAATTTGCTATATACTGTGCTCTATACTGTGATTGCAGATGAAAAAAATTCAAAGCTTCTGTCAAGGATCAACTGTAATCTAATTATTTAATATGTAAAGCCTTACATCAACATTCAATTATCAGAACTACTGCTGTTACACTGTTACCTACTTGCGTAATCATTTCATCAAAGGGAAAGAATTCCAAGGCAGATATGCTTCTGCTTGAAAAATTATCATCAGTGTTGAACAGAAAATAGAAATCAGGTCTCTCACATCACCACTTTCATTTACCAGTGAATCAGCAGGAGAGCAAAGGAACTGATAACATTATTTACTTTTCCCTTCTAAAATCTAGAAATCTAAAATTTAGATTGTCTAACAGTCAAAAAATGGGAAATCAACTTACAAGGAGAACAACAACAAAAAAGGCAGGAAATAGTTAAACTCAATCTGGTGACAGCCTTAAGGACATGGGAATAGGGCGGCATGGGGAAGGGAAGGTGGACTGAGCAATCTAGAGGTGAGAATGGGAGCATCATATGCTTCAGGGTGGAAAGTAATTCAGAGCAAAGGGTATCACTGAGAGAGGCAATTGGCAGCACTATCATTAGCAGATGCAATTTACTGTGTTTTAAGCCATCCAGTTATCAACACAGTCTAGACCAGTGGTTTTCAAAGCTTGGGCCCCAAACAAGCAGCATCAACATCACCTGAGAACTTGTTTAAAATCCTAATTCTCCAGCCTCATCTCATCAGAAATTCTGGGGTGGGGAGTGGAGGCGGGGAGCAGGGGACAGGGCAGAAATCTGTGTTTCGACAATCTTTCTCCAGGAGATTCTGTTGCATGCATGGTAAGGCTTGATGCATGTAGGCAGTGCTTTCTGAAGCACAGGCAGTAGGGTTAGGACCAGTTAGCATCCTCTTTCCTGCCTCTGCCTTTGCGCAGGTCCACCTTGGCTGCACCCACAATGGGCTAAATGTTTGTGCTGCCCCTCCTCAAAATTCATATGTTGAAACTCTAATCCCAATGTATCTGGTGTTGGGGGCTTTGGGAGATAACTGGGTTCATGAAAGTGGAGACCCCATGAATGGGATTACAGTCCTTCTAAAAGAGGCTAGAGAATTAGCCTGACCTCTTTCTGCATAAGGATACAAGAAGTTCACTCTGGGAAACCTGGAAGAAGGCCTTCACTAGTATGCAACTGTGCTGTATCTCATCTTAGACTTTCACCCTCCAGAACCATGAGAAATAAATGTGTGTTAAGCCACCCAGTCTATGGTATATTTGTTATAGCAGCCAGAGCTAAGATACCATCCGTGCAATAATTCCCTATAACCTTTTATCTTTATCTTAATCCTACTCTTCCTTTAATTTGCCACAAAAAATTCACTATCCCAGTGAAGTCTTCACTAGAAATTTATCTTCACAGTGGCAAGCTTACACATTTTAGCACTTCATTATTTCATCAACTAAAGTTTTATCTGTTCAATTCACCCAGATTCAAACTTTGTGAAGACACTTGCTTTATATCCAAAAGCTTCTACTAGTGAACTAAGCACATTTAAAGGCTTTCTAAATGTTAAGTGATTGATTTTTCTGCTCATAAATGAGTAGGCAAACTTATAGAAAAAAAAAATGATGAGGACGCATTGCCAAAAGGTTGGCTGAAACAAAAGTGAGAAGATTCAAAGACACAAAATGAAAAAGTCCCGGATCACCTCCCCCTTGGCTTGGAATGGTGTTTGGAACATCTCATAACCTTATGATACACAAAATCCATCAGCTTGTGCTTAAACTTTGGGCCAACTCAGGTTTCCCATGTAAAACTCTGATAACATGTCTCAAATTGGAATAACTCCTTAGGCAATTGGTGGGGCACTGTTAGCTAGGAAACCTCCCTCCTTGGGTGAGTGGTAAAGAGAGAAGAAGGGTGTTACTAAACTCAAGGGCCAGAGGAATCAAGTCTATCAGTTCTGAACATCCCAGGAGTTCTGAATTATTTTGCAGATTAGTCTGGGTCTGACTTCTGCAGTAGTTCCAAATGTGGTGCCAAAGGAAGAATTCACTAGCTGAGACTTTGGACTAAAAATCTAAAACAGATCCTCACAATGGCTGTCCCTAGTTCCATCCTAAACCCTAAACACTGACTTCTAGATGCTCCTTTGGGGTTCAATGGATGAAAAATGCTACTTGGTAGTAAGTTGTATATTACATTGATTTGGGTTTGGAACATTTCCTACCTGTATATTATGCTTGAGTTGAGTGCTAACTTAAGGCATTTAATGAACTGAAAGATCCCATTTGGCTGGAGTGTAGAAAGGAAAGGGAATCTTTGAGAGCTAGTCTGAAGGAGGAGCCGAGAGCTAGATTGTGGAGGGCCTTAATATCCCAAGGTGTGGATTTTAGGCCCATTGGAAAGTTTAAGGCAGAGGAGTTTCCTGATCTGGTTGCAGTGTGGTGAATGGATTGGACATGGTTAGTGTTTTCCTTAGCCCTTCAGTCATGGAATAAAATCATTTGAATGTCACTTTATACCACTGTATCTGAATACCTGGTTATAAATAAAATCTCTCATTTACCAGATGGAAAGCTGTTTGTTGACATGTACCTCAATTCTTGGATCTTTCAACTTATCACAGATTTTTAAATGTACAGTAGAATGACTCACTATGAGGAAAAATAAAATAGTACAAACATTCTTCAATCACCAAGCTCTGAGTAATAAATGCATTGAGGAATCTGTGTTGGGCATATGGAGAAGCATATGTTCCCTCAGCCTTTGAGCTGGTGGAGCTGTGAAAGTGAGATTAGCCTTACAAAAAATGACAGAAAGGGAAATTTTATATATATATACACACACACACACACACACACATACACACACACACACACGTATGTATGTATCAAATATGTACATGTTGAATTCCACCATAATACAAAGAGGGGAAAATGTTATAAATCCCATAGAACTCATAAATCTTGTATTAGGAGACAGGATGAATTTATGACGGGGTTGTACTCAGCTGATACTCCAATAAGTGCTGTATTTCTGGGGCACAAACTGGCCTAAAGAATTTTTAAATTCCAAGTAGTAATGGGGTCCAAGCATTACTGGTTTATGAAACTATCAAACTATTTTTATAAAATCATTGTGAAAAATCTTAGCTACATTCAGGTATGTTTATAAAAATTCATCAATTAGTTCCCAAACTTTCTTCAAGTTTTTGGTATGTACTCATGCTGCAATAGAATGTTTAAACAAAATCTTAGCTGTATCAGTCATACTGTCCTAATTTCCAACTTGATGTGAGGTAAGGCTCAGGCCAAGAGAAGGCTCTGCAGTAGGTTCAAACTAGGATATGAGTAGCCTTATTGCTCAGGCCACATGACCATGGGGTACATTGTTCCTACCATTTATATATCATGCAGAAGCTGCAAGACTAGCAGAAAATTGGAATGGACTCCAAAATTCATAGCTTGGGAATGACATTCAGTGGTGCTAGAACACTGTCCCTCAAGACTTGATACTTACTTTTAGCCAACAGCCATTGTATGGTACTGTGGCCTCAACAGACAAACTACATAGGTCTGAGAGACAAGGGGTGAAAGTAGGAGCAGCCCCTCCCACCAAAGATTCTGATAATCCACTTGACAAATTTGTGCTTCCTATCCCAATAACTATAAGCTCTGGAGGAGCAGAGGTTCTGGTTTCCATGGTGGGGTGGGATGGGGTATACACACCTCTACAAGGGGACCATTTAGGATCCCACTAAACCTAAAGTTATAGCTACCATCTGATCATTTTTGGCTCCCCATGCCAGCAGTCTATCAGGCAAAGAAAGGAATTACTATGCTGGTCAGGGTGATTAACCCTATTTATCATGAGGAGCTGGGCTTGCTACTGCATAAAGGGAGTAGGGAGGTGTATCTGTAACTCTAGAGATTCACCAGGGCATCTCTCAATGCTTTCATGACTGACAACTATCACATTCAGAAGACTTCAGTAACCAAGTCTGATAAGGGAATGGTAACCAGGAGTTCAGCACCTCAAGGATGAAGGTCTCAGCGACCCCACTGGGCAAATAACATAAATCAGCAGAGATGATGGCCAATGATGAGAGGAAGATGGAATAGGTGGTAAAGAATCTAATAATAAATATCACTTGCAGATTCAGAAATATCTGCAGCAGGGGGTACTGTATCCTGTCCTACTAAGTCCATTGTCATCAAGCTTAAATACATAAATAAATTGTAACCAGCAATGAACCTGAAGAATCAATGATAGAATTCAGGGAACCTAACATAGGGAATAAGTAGATCTCAGTGGTATAAAGGGTAGGGCCATAGAAGACACTGTCAATGATCCCATGCATTAGTCCGTTTTCACACTGCTCTAAAGAACTACCTGAGACTGGGTAATTTATAAAGAGGTTTAATTGACTCACAGTTCCCATGGCTGGGGAGGCCTCAGGAAACTTAAAATCATGGCAAAAGGCGAAGGGAAAGCAAGGTACATCTTACATGGCAGCAGGAGAGAGAGAGCAGGGGCAGAACTGCCAAACACTTTTAAACCATCAGATCTTGTGAGAACTCACTATCA